AGATATGTTAGAAATGTTACACAGAAATGTTACTACAGATATGTAGAAGGTTTTCTTCTACAGTTAGTCCATCGTTTTGATAGCTGCGATAGCGATATCGTCCAAGCAACAAGGCGACGAGAGAAAGAGTTCGCATAGATAGCGATTACAACAACGAAACAAACTTATAAAAAATAAAATATTGATTTTTTTGCAAATTTCTCGATTTCAGCCAAATTCATATAAGTCCAATATCATTGTAATATGTTAGTTAGTTCCAAAAGCATACTAAATAATACGAGGGTCTGTAAAAATGCCCGTTTCTGCCGAAAATGGTTTCTGTCCAGAATGATTCGGAGTGCTAAGGGTTAATACGTATATGCAACAGAAACATCGCGATACTTGCATTACGTGACACTTGTTTCGTGTGAAATCGCTAGATGAAACATTGAGACAAGTTTTCATCAAGATTATTTCTTTTCGTCGAGAACAACTAAGAATATATTTTCATACCATCCATGTTTTTGTACCAAACATTGCTCGTCAAGAATGAACATACTTGAAATATTATTTAATCGCATATGTCGCATAAAAGACATAATAAAAAGAGAGCAAACAGAGAACATTCGATTTATTCCATAAATAACGTCAGACATGAAAAGGGATCTTCTTATGTATCGTTTTGAATTAGTTTTATATTTAGTTATATTTCATGTTGTTATATTCATATTTATATTCGTATTATTATATTTCATATTCAAAAATATTTTAGTTAGTTTAGAATGTATCTTTTGTATATGTCTTCTCATGTATTGTTTGAATTAGTTTTATATTTAGTTATATTTCATATTATTACATTCATATTCATATTCATATTCATATCCATATTATTATATTCATATTCATATTCATATTATTATATTTCATATTCATATTCATATCCATATTCATATTATTATATTTCATATTCAGTAATATTTTAGTTAGTTCAGAATATACGCATTAATTATCACATTTTTCTATGCATTTTCCGATTTTTCCGATTTATCCCATAAACTGTGAATATTTTAAATACCGATAATTAGACTGCGAATCTTGATGCAAAATAAAATAAAAATTGTCTATGTTTGGTTGCGAGAATCACGAGTCACTTAGGAACACCTTTTCTTTAATAATTATAGCAGATTATAAACAAATGTATCGACATAGTCTTCCTTTACCGTCTCGTCTCTCTAAAATTACAGCCACTGATTTCTGTCAAAAATGTTCATCCCGTTTAACGAACACTTCGTCGTCAGAACGATCTGCAATACGCGTTCACGAAATTCACTTGTACAATGTAAGATTGTTACTTGTACCATTGTTTCAATGTTTCGTCTGCCGTGTATCGCAGCGACCAAAATTTCGCGGGACACGCGAAGTCGGTATTAGCGATACGAAAAAATCGTCGCGCAGAGATTCGCACGATGAACAATGTAACATCGGTATGCGTCGCGTACAAATATCGCAACAGATCGTATCGTCGTGTGAAAGAGCCTCGAATCCTCGAATTTTCAAGCAACTGGCGACTGTCTAACAAAAGATCGACCTCAAGACGACGCGGTAGATTTCGACGCTTGCACTGCCTTTCCCCATTCGTTGAACAAATGACTGTCTGGCCTCTAGACGAACAAACTGAGATCTAATTAAACGATGTCGTTGTCCGTACACTGGATATCTAAATGGCGCATACGCTTCTCGGAAACAGTAGCGCGAAGAAGTTCGCGGTTTTACACGCTCGTTCGACACTCGTTCGAACGGTATTCGACGCAGAAAATGAGCGGATTTCTTGTTCGAGAAGCATGCGAGGGTGAATTATTCAGAGATACTTAACGAAGAGAGAAAGAACGAGAGATTCGGATGAGTGTGAGAAAGAGAGAAGAAGGCGGAGGAAAAAAGATATTCTACGTATATGATAGCGAGGAGGACTATATAAATTTAAACGAACTCGCTCTTGCTGGCCAAGAGTTGTAGCGTGTCGATTAGCGTATATATCTAAATAAATATAAAAATATAACTACCTGCGCGGGTGTCGGTGTGTACCGCAACAAAACAAATGAGAAGGAAGTAGAGAGAGAGAGAGAGAGAGAGGGCGAGAGAGAGAGAGAGAGAGAGAGAGAGAGAGAGAGAGAGTAAACAAATTTATGGAGTCGAGATTATAGCATGGGTTGCGCGATCATTTATATTAGGAACGAGCATTTCGCCGTGTGACGTTCCCTGTTCGAGAATAAATTCTTGGTAATAATGTTACGAGCGAGAAATTTCGATACCGATTTCGGAGGCCTGCTTCACCTGTTAAACGACGATTCACGGTGGCGTTGATTTCATTTCATTTGATACGATAGAACGTCGATCCTTAATCTTTATTGTCCAAATACGATTTGCAAAGTTAAGTTACTATTAGGTTGACAAGAATGAAATTTGTAGCTAATAATATTGCCAACTTCAACAATTTATTATTTCACATTGGCTTAATATTTTACCGTTCTGTTTTTTCTTTATTGGAAAGTTACAAATCTCGCTTGTTTAAAGAAATTATTTTAAGCTCTAAAAAATATTGGAAACTTTTTTAAAAATTAATTTTGTTGAAAATGTCGAAGATTCGCACTATTATGAAGTATGAGTTCTTACGTGGAACTACGAAATAGACGCGTGAAACATTAACAGTGTATTTGGCTCTAGTGTAACTAAACAGCAGACAGTATCAAATTGGTTCGCCAAATTTCGTACAGGTTATTTCGACCTCAACGATGAGCCACGCGTTTGCTCAGAATCAAAGGTTATCGCACCTGTCCAGCGCAGGTGAGATTCGTTATGATTTTATGAAACCTGGCTCACCGATCACAGCAGAAATATGCTGCAACCAACTGGACGAAATGATGCAAACACTTAAAAGAAAACAGCCTAGATTGGTCAACAAATCGACTCCCATCTTATTGCATGATAACGTTAGGTCGCACACTGCACAAACGACTGTGGCAAAACTATAGGAATTGGAGTTGGAACTTCTTCATCATCCTCCATACTCGTCGGACCTAGCCCCCACTGTCTGTCACTTGTTCCACAATTTGAACAATCTTTGAATAGGAAAACAATTGAATTCCGACAATGCTGTAAAACTGGTCTTCCAGAAATTCATTGACTCTCGTCCGCCAGGGTTTTATATCACCGGCCTGAACAACTTGCCGCTTAAACGGCAAAAGTGCATAGACAATATGGGTGCATACTTTGATGAATAAAATAATTCCTCGTATTTGTAAGTTATGAAACAACTTTGCCTTCTTTTCTACAAATTTCATACTTGACGACCTGATATATGAAATCTGGCCCTGTAACTGAGTAACTACAGACGATCGAAGTTCCGCTTTCGTTTAGAATGACTTGTGCGCACCGATTTGATATCGTCGAAACTGTAACCAGCGATCAATTAACATTTCAAGTGATCCGGTTCCTTGAAAATTACCATCCGGTTGCGCTGATATTTATTTGAAAGAAAATAATCAGTCGTCGAAATGTTGTCAAGAAATTCCAAAATGTTGGTATCCGAGGAAGACGTGCCATCGTCGATTGACAGATCGATAACAGGGTCTCCGCGTTAAGTTTGACTGTGTTGCAACTAATTTTCGTCGTTGTACGTCGTGTAAGCTTGATCTTGTATCTTGGTTCGGGCACGCCTGCTCGGAGGTGCGAGCCCCCGTCAAAGGAAATATATTTTTGCAGATTGAATGTTTAGAGAAAAACGAAACAATAAAGTACAAAGACACACGCGAACCAGATGGCAATAAAGGGAGCCTCTCGTGCGAGACGTATCCGGACATATCGTAGAGTGAACGAACCGGGGCGAGGCAGGCTTGTCATTTTTTTCGAAAGTAAGCGAACACAGGTGATACCAGTCGCAATCTGCAAAAATAGATTCTCGGTGAATAAAACGAGCGACGCGGGAACCGTGAGTTCGGGGACGAAACTCGGTTCGGTACAAAGAACTATATTAAGAGATTTAACAGAGAGAAAGAAAAAAGTAACTATATGGATAAAGCTGTGTATGTGCTATAAAAAGATATTATTACGTGCAAGCAAAAACTATATATGATGAATATTGATATATGATATATTTATGGAAAATTCGTGTTGACAAATAAATTATGTATTAAGAGTATCATCATGATTTTCCTGGATCCACACTCAAGGATACTTTTCCAGGCATGTCCTCGCAACGGACGAGCCGATCAGCTTAATCGATGTAAATCGTCCGATCTAACACCATTAGCTTGCACCTCGTCCAGAGATGTCATATACTAAAAAACTAAAATGTGGTTAAAATCTTTAAGATCTTACAAAATGTCTATCATTCCAAATATTGGCTTGGAGAATAAGTTCGTAGCGCTTTTATATTTTCTTTTATTTTACAGAAAGTAAATCACTCCCGAGCCAATCGTTCAAATTGTCATTCTTTGTCTCAGATTGTTTTCAATGATCCCGTGCTATAATTGAAAGTATCGTCAGGCTAGGGTAAAAACATTCTGGAATCACGCAGTGACGCTATTTTATGCTTTTCAAAATTATTCACAGTTGAACCTAAACATTTGAAAATAGCGCCAATTATGATGAGTGGCTGCCCTAGTGGCCAAGTTTCAAAGCTGAGTTCGGGGGTCCGTACAGCGCCAGCCGGTGTAGTGGCAAAACGCTCAAACTGTTCGCCAAATTATCTACAGTCGAGTTTGGCGAACAGTTTGAGCATTTTGACGCTATCCCAATTGGCGCTGTACTACGAGCACCTGAACCGAGCTTCAAGATTTCACCAGAAGTGGAGCCATTTGTCACAAATGATGCTATTTTCAAATTTATAAATGCTCATGGTAAAGAACCATTTTTGTGCTTGTTATTTACAAGAAGAAGTAAACCTATTTTGCGTAATGTCGTCGGTTTTATTTATGTATTAAATATATATTAAATAATATTATTATATAATATAATACTTAATATTATTATATATATTAAATTTTTATTTACATATTAAATATAATCCACAAAAACGAATTATACAAGTCTCACGATTAATATTTATATTAACACGTTTGTACAATATTAAATCTAAATATTCTTCATTACATCTGTAATGGCATTAATCCATGTGGCAACCCCATATGCACCTGCATCCACATTTTGTAGATACTGGGACTGTTTCACGTAACTAGCTCGTCCTATTCTGTAATGGATATACATTTTAAACATTACATTTATCATAAATATTGAATTTTAATTGAAACGTTGAACTCGTTTATTACATATATACCTTGGTAACATATGCTTCGTTGCTTCGCACGTTTGCCATGCAGCAGTCTTTAATGCGGTGCAAATATCGCTTGTTTCATTGTTTATTGTTTTCTCATAAGCTTCGCATACCGCATTGATCACGTCGATCTAAAAAATCAGAAAATCTTC